CTCAGAAATCGTCGCTCCGTTCCACCGCGTCAAAGCGCCACCGCTCTCGGCATCACGCCGCGATCCGACGCTCAGATCCCGAGATGGCTGCGACGCGCAGCGCGTGCCCGACGGCGGACAAGCCCCCGCAGAAGGCGACGCGGGCGGGCTCGGAGCCGAGGCTGGCCTCCGCCAAGAAGACGAGGACGAGAGCTCCAGCCCCCATCGGACTGAGGTCCACACCACGGTCTCCTCGTCGCCTGACTCCGCCATGAAGGACCACACCTTGTCGAGCACCGACAGCCCGAAGTTGACTAACTACCAGACCACCCCAACCCAACCCGAAGACCCGAATTTCGGGTTGGTGGGGCACGGGTTCCACGAGTTTTTTCGATGTTTCCCGACCCCCCCCCCCCCCCCACACACACACTGGAAACCGAGGGTGAATCTGAGCCTTCGGGTTGGGTTGGGGTGGTTTGGTGGGTGGTGAGTAGTGCGGCAGCTGGCAGCGATGCACGACGTAGCCCACCAGGACGCGCAGGACGAGCCCGCTGCATCGGCCGTGCCGAAGGACGGCCCGCAGCGCCAGGTCGAGCCTCCAAGCCCGACGAGACTTAAGCAAAAGCAGACGACGACGGCCGCCCACATCAACCGCCAGGAGCTCGAGCGACTCCGCAGGCTCGTTCTCCTCGTGGTAGTGGAGGCCGCTCCTGTCCAGGTCGCTCGCAACGGCACCCAGCGCCCGCCGGGTGGCGCCCCGCCGGAGACCGACGACGCTGGCGTCGTCGACGCACGGCGGCCCATGTGCCAGGTCAGCCCGAGGTGGCTCGGGAGAGCGACGATCCTGCAAGGCGGCGGACCTGCCCACGGCAGAGGTGATGGCATGGCAGAGGTGATCGGCAGCCCTTCGAGGGCCGGGAAGAGCATCTCGTCTAGCCCGACGTCGACTAAGCACTCCCGCTCCTCACCGTAGATCTCGCTGACCCCCCAGACGTCGGCCCGCTCGGCGAAGTTGACCCCGGACAGCGACCCCAGCTCGCGGTTGCGGGACTGGTGGAAGCCGCTGCGCAGGTCGACCGAGGCCGCGCAGACATCGAGGGGCCCGCTGGAGCCCACCGCGGCGTCAGAGAAGTCGAAGGATCCGAGCGCGGCGACGGTGCCTGGCCAGGTGTGCGGCGGGCGGCGGCACATGCCGCTGGCCCCCCTCGCGTCGACGATGAGCCATCTTCGAGACGAAGAAGATCCCTATCTGCGCCTTGATGGAGCGCCGGAAGCCAAGCAGCCCGAGCTCACGGAGCCTCGATAGCAGCCGGAAGCGCTCCTTCCTGAAGATGAGCAGTTTGAGGCCCCAGTAGGGCGAGAACGGCAGCTCCTCTTGGTTCGCGCGCTCGAGGTCGGCGCTGTCCAAGGGGGTGCGCAGCTCGGGGTTGGCCGGCATCTCGCGTCGGCTCGGCGGCGCCAGCTCCAGGACGTCCCGGACCGCGATGCCGCACGTGAGAATCTTGACCCTCTCGTACGAGTACGAACCCAGGTAGCTGGGCTCGAGGCCGCAGAGGCCCTTGACGCGCAGGGGCTCCATGGGGGCCCGAGTGGGCCCGCTGCTCGCGGCTCGCCCGCCTCCGGAGTCTTCGCCAGAAGTACAGGGGCAGTCCTCGTAGTTCAGGCCGAACTTGTTCAGACGCCAAAACTAGGAAGGGTTTTCCGCGTTGTCGAGCCTCTCTCCCATCCCCACGCACGGCGGCGCCACCGCGCGACGCCCTGCGCCTGGGGAACCAGCACCGAGCACAGCGACGCCACGCCTCGGGGCCGACTCGGACGCCGCGCCAGGCTTGGACTTCTTGCCCGCCAGGCGCTTCTCGTCTGCCGCTGTCTCCTCCCGCCACAGCCGCTGCTGCTTGAGGAGGAGCCCCTCGTCGATCCTCCTGCCGCTCCGCCGCCCATTTCGCGAAGCTCTTCGCGATCACCGCAACGCCCGTGCCGATCGGATGCGACATGACCACCCCGGACCCCTCGAAGCCCGGCGACTTGGGATTTCGCCGAACGGCTGCCTCGATCTGGATCAATCTCCTGACGTGCACATCGTTCGACAAGCTGTTCGCCAGGTCGTACTGGTCCACGCTCTGCGCAGCGTAGAGGGCACTGCTCAAATGCTTGCGCTCTCGCGCAATGCCCGACTTCGGCGCCACCCCGCTCTTCAGCTCCCAGTGTAGGTTGCGAGTCGCGAAGTTGAAGCCGATTCGCATCATATTCACCATGGATTCGTCGGCTGCTTCGGGACACTCGAAGGGCTCGTACGGCATCTTATGACTGCTCTGCCTCTTCGTGGCCTCGTCTGGGGGAGGCATATCGTAGCGCAGTGCTCTCGCACGCCCCCGAGCAGCCGTGGATCCCGTCCTGGTCCGCAGCGATTCGCCGACAGCCACGCCTCCACCTTGTCGTCGACGACTTGCTGGATCAGGACGCTATCCTCGTCCTTGGTCACCCAACCGACGTTGTCCCCCAAGCTGCAGCCCTCCTCATCTCGAATGGCATCCAGCGGTACGATCTCGCCGAAGGCCTTGTGCGCCGTGTCTGCGAAACGCCAGGTGGCGTTCTCCACCGCCAGCGCGGGCCCCCCAGCAGCCTTGACCCCAGTCAGGTCGAAGCAGCAACCTCTGCGAGCTCGTAGGCCTCGGCCCTGATGCGAGCGAATTCGCCCTCGTCGATCTCCTCGTCGAAGACGAAGGCCTCGCGTAGATTCTGGGGGTCGATCGGCTCTCCTCGGCGCAAGATGCGGATCCGATGGTTCGAGAAATCTGCGACCTGCACGGCAAGGGTGGGTGAGCACACGATCCATCTTCCCTGGCCTCCAGGAATGAGTTAGACACGGGTGTGCCAGTTCAGTCCGTTCTCGTCCCCGAAAAATTCAATCACCATCTGCTTCTCCGGAGTGTCAAGTGCTCTATGCTGCACCATTCCTCAACCGCAAGGTAGTCGGAGTAGCAACCGTCGTCCTCGAATCAGCTAGCTGGTGTCCTCCTCGAGCTGCCTCCAAACGTTTGCCGCGTCGGCCGATGAACTTTCCGAAGCAGCACCCGCCCACACCACAGCTCAGCGCCCGGCCGAGGAGCAGCAGCAGCAGCCACGGGAACTCGCAGCTCTGGACCTCGCACTCGGGGCAGGCCTCCTGTGTCACGCGCTCGGCCGCCGGCACCTGAGCGCGCGCAGAAGCCGCGAGTTCACCCACCAGCTGGTAGCAGGCGCTGGTGTCCGGGCACGAGACCCCCGGACAGGTCGGACAGGGCTGCTCCGGGCAGCTGAGCGAGACGTCCGGGCACCGCTGCCCGAGCCTCGACTGATCGCGGGCCACGGCCCAGAAGCGGTGGAGAAAGGCGGCGGGGTCCCCCACCATGCAACTGTCGCCGCCAGGAGACCCTCAATCACTGCGAGCCAATACGATTATAGAAGAGAGGAGACACTCGGCGCCTCCTCGGGTCAGCAACTGTACTCCGACTCTACAATCGCGAGACTGATGAATCTATTACATATGTATATCTATATGTATATGTGTATATATATATCAGTAAACCATATATATATATATAGAAGAATAAAAGAACAAGCATAACAAACAAAACAACAACAACAACAACAACAACAACAACAACAACAACAACAAAACAAAACAAAAAAAAACAAACAAACAAAAAAAAAAAAAAAAAAAAAAAAAAAACGATCGGACTGGGCGTCCACTCCGGCGCCGATCGGGCTAGCAGGGCGCGCGCTCGACCCTACTGCTCCACCGGAGGCCAGGGCCGAGGCCTGCTCGGAACGCAGGGGTGGGGAGGGCCCGCGGCGCGCAGCCCCGCGCCACGGCGACGGGCGGCGCCAGCGCGGAGCATGTCCAGCTTTCAGGCAACATGTGCTAGCAATGTCCTGCCGATCCAGGAGATCCGCGCGGAGCTCCGAGATGTTCTGCTGGTGCCGATGTTCAGCTTCCAGGCAACATGTGCTCGCAATGTCCTGCCGATCCAGGAGATCCGCGCGGAGCTCCGAGAAGTTCTGTTCGCGCCGCTCGCTGTTCTTCGAAGCCTGAGGGCTCCAAGATCGTCTGGGACAGGCTGAGGCACACAACAGTCGTAATTTCGTGCCGATCCAAGAGATCCGCGCGGAGCTCCGAGAAGTTCTGCTAGTGCCGACGTTCAGCTTCCAGGCAACACGTGCTCGCAATGTCCTGCCGATCCAGGAGATCCGCGCGGACCTCGGAGAAGTTCTGCTAGTGCCGATGTTCAGCTTCCAGGCAACATGTGCTCGCAATGTCCTGCCGATCCAGGAGATCCGCACGGAGCTCCGAGAAGTTCTGCTGCTGCCGCTCGCTGCTTTTCGAAGCTGGAGGGCTCCAGGATCGTCTGGGACAGGCTGAGGCACACAACAGTCGCAATGTCCTGCCGATCCAAGAGATCCGCGCGGAGCTCCGAGAAGTTCTGCTGGTGTCGCTCGCTGTTCTTCGAAGCTGGAGGGCTCCAGGATCGTCTGGGACAGGCTGAGGCACACAACAGTCGTAATTTCGTGCCGATCCAAGAGATCCGCGCGGAGCTCCGAGAAGTTCTGCTGGTGCCGCTTGCTGTTGTTCGAAGCTTGAAAGCTTGAGGGCTCCAGGATCGTCTGGGACAGGCTGCGGCAGACAAGAGGCCCCAGGGAAGAAGAGGTCGAGAGCTCCCCTGCACCGGCAGAAGCCCGACGTCGGAGGCCTAGGGGAGTCAGGGAGCCGAGACTCTTCGAGTAGGAGATCGACTACAGAACTGATCTACCCCGACTTTTTGATGTAAAAAACTGTTATACCGATGTATATATAAGAAAAAACTGATTTATCCCGAAACTGATGTTCTTGTCCGTGGAACCTAGAACACATGAGCAGGATGTTCCTAAGTTTACGATCGTTACACGAATGTGTCGTAGAGTCGACTACGGTTTCGAGTTGGGGGCAAATCGATCCTGCAGTCGAGCGTCGAGCTCCGAATCGATGTACAACCCTCCCCCTCCAGGAAGAAGATGACGACCGTCTGCTGCAGGCCATGGAGCAGGGGGTGCGAGGTCGCGTGCACCAGGAGCGTGCCGACGCCGATGGCGAGGAAGAGGTAGGGGATGACGGCCGACTGCGCGACCTCCTCCGCGCTCTCCTCCGCGCCGTGCGGATCCTCGGCCGCCCCCCCCCCCCAGACCTGCGACGCCAAGCCGCCTCCCACCACACGTGGCCCCCGCGACCTCTCAACACGGCCCTCCGCTCACCAGACACGTTTCCACCCTACTCGTACTTGTCCCTCCTCCTCCTCCTCCTCCTCCTCCTCTCTCCATCTCATCATCATCATCATCATCATCATCATCATCATCATCATCATCATCATCATCATCATCATCATCATCATCATCATCATCATCATCATCATCATCGTCAGCAGCAGCAGCATCATCATCAGCATCATCGTCGTTATAATCAGCATAATCAGAATCATAGCAGCAGCATCCTAATCCTCATCCTCATCCTCATCCTCATCCTCCTCCTCCTCCTCCGCCTCCTCCTCCTCCTCCTCCTCCTCCTCCTCCTCCTCCTCCTCCTCCTCCTCCTCCTCCTCCTCCTCCTCCTCCTCCTCCTATACTTCCCGGCCCCCAGCCCCAGGCGAAAGTCCTCCAGCCTGTGGGGAGCAAAACAGCAATCAGGTCAGCGCTGGGATCCATGGGAGTTGCCTGAGTGCCACCCGAGCCGCGGGAGCACTGACCTGACCCATCAGCCGAGGCATTGCCGCGTCAGGGCCACCATGGGGATCTGGTCAGTGCTTCGGCCTCCTGGGCTTCACCTGAAGGGACTCGCCGGACCCGAACGCTGACCGGACTCTTTTTGCTCATCGATCTGCAGGTTCTCATCAGGTTCGCATCAACAAACCAAAAGCGGCTTGAGCACAAACTCTTGGAGGTCCGCGCGGATGTCTTGGATCGGCGCTGGGCTCTCCTCCCTGGCGCACGGTGCGCACCAGAGGCGGCACCAGAGGCGCCGTCAGAAGTCTCTAGCGCCGGTCCGCGAAATCCGCGCGGACGTCCGAAAGTTCGTTTTCGCGCCATTATTGGGGGGGCCCAGGAACGCACAAATAATAACTCGACACAAATCCTGGAATTCCGAATTCTTTGCTTTGGATTTCGTCTTCCCCTCCAATTCCTATTTCCCACATTTTCATGGGAGTCGACGTTAATTTGTGTCTGCCATTTTTCTTAACATGTGGTTATGGGTCCCCGTTTTGAAAAGGAGAGAGGGAGAGAGAGAGAGAGAGAGACAGACAGAGAGAGAGAGAGAGAGAGCGCCCCGCGTTCCTCACTCCTTCCTCCTCCTCCTCCCCCCTTTCTCCCATCCCTGCCTCTGCCCTCCGCACGTCCGCATCGTCATCATAGTCATCATCGTCATCGTCATCGTCATCGTCATCGTCATCGTCATCATCATCATCATCATCATCATCATCATCATCATCATCATCATCATCATCATCATCATCATAATCATCATCATCAACATCATCATCATCACCATCATCATCACCACCATTATCGGCATCCAGTTCCTGTTTCAGCCCTCCCACGTCCATTTGGTACACCCCTCACACGTCTCGTGGCCCGTGGGGAGCTCCACCGAAGGCCCTAGCGGCAGCGTCCGCACGGCGCCACCGCACACATTTCGGCACACCCTCACACGTTTCGTGGCCATATGGGGAACTCCACCGAAGGCACCAGTGGCAGGGTCCGCATGGCGCCACATTTCGGTACACCCCTTACACGTCTCGTGGCCCCATAGGGAGCTCCACCTAAGGCCCCAGTGGCAGGGTCCTCATGGCGCCACCACACCCATTTCAGCACACCCCTCAGACGCTTCGTGGCCCCATTGGCAGGTCCGCATGGCGCCACCACACCACACGCTTCGTAGCCGCATGGCGCACCCGCATCCGATTCGGCACACCCCTTACACGTTTCGTGGCCCCATAAAGAGCGGCCCCTGTTTGGTCCCACCTGCCTTGCGGCGGCACTCGCATCCGCATAGGGCTCGGTCCTTCTGAAGTATGTGCTCTTCGCAGGGACGTCGGAGACCCTGGCCCCTCGCCGCGCGCAGGGGCGTCCAAGATAGGGCTGTCCAGGAGGGGGGGTCGCCAAGAATGGCCCGAGGCATGTGCGCGGACGAGCGGGGGGGGGGGGGGGACGCGTTAAAGCAAGAGGCGGCACCACGAGACCTGGGGAGGTATCATCAGGGCGAGAAGGATGTCATGATAAGATTGGCTCAGGATACGTTCCAAGATTTTCAGGGTATCTACGCCAAACATACGATCAATAGAATCATTATTGAAGAAATCTGGGCCAACTTCCCAGACGTCTCTTCAAAAAGACCTGAACCAACAACTGCTATTAACGCCAGAGGGGGCGAACGTTTTCAAGAAACTTGGCCAGCTTTCACGCAAGTTGGCTAAGGAACGCTGGCCGGGCTTTTCGGGGGGAGGTCTCTGAATCAGATGCTCGACTGTAGCGGCGCAGCCGGTGCCGAACATGGGGGAGGAACGGGCCATCCTGGAAACCTTGGACGCCCTGGACATAGGGACCGTCATGACCTCTTGCTCCTCTGAGTCATGGAACCCGCCGTGACGCCCCCCCCCCGTTGTCGTCAACCCCCCGCTTGGCCGCCCCCCGCCCCGCGCCGCGCTCCTCCGACTCCCCGTGCGCGGCCGGGGCGTCGCCGTCGCCGTCCTCCGCCTGCGCCCCCCCTGGCGGCGCCGCCTCCCCGCCGCCCTCGCCCGCGGACAGCCTCCGCGCCGGCGCGGGCGCCGGCGCCGGCGCCCGGGCTTGGCAGAGCTGGCCCGCCTCTCTGGGAAAGCAGGAATCCAGAGATCCCCAGACATGATCACGCTCTCCAGGAAAAAAGGGGGAAAAAAAAAAGGAAAAAGAGAGAGGACGGGAGGTTTGTGGCCATGGTCGGCTTCCGGGGGCCCTCGCCGGGCCCAGGCACCGTCAAAAGACGGATCAGGATGCAAAAGCGGTCCCAGGGAATGGGTCTGGACTTCCAGGGACCCCGCATTGAAAAGTTTGCGCGAAACAAGGGAAGCAGAAACCCAGGGATCCGACGACAGACAGACAAACCGACAGACAGACAGACAGACAGACAGACAGACAGACAGACAGACAGACAGACAGACAGACAGACAGACAGACACAAAACCGTGCACCCGAGAGAACGCGTAAGCATAATTAGGCAAGATGAGATGTGCCAATTAGCACACTCTCTCGAGAGCAGAAAATATACTGACACACGTGCTTGCCATGGCCAGCAATGGCCAGGGAGATGGGGAAGGGGTGGAGGGCAAACAAATAACAGAACCAGCATTACACATGCACTGTCTCAAAATGCTCAGAAAAAATGACGACATAGATTGGAACGGCCGGTTCTCGGCCTCCAGGGGCCCTCGACGGGCCCTGCAACCGCCAAAAGCGACTCAATATGAAAAACAAGCCTAAGGAAGGGTCCAGACCTCTGGAGGTCCACGCATCGAAAAACGTGAGCGCCGGATCTGTGGGAAGGTACCGATACTACTACCCAGTGCGACGACAGACCGTGTGGCGGTAATCTCGAGATCCCCAAGGATCTCATCGCTAGGTCTGTCACCGCATGGTTTGGGACCCTGGAAGCCCTGGTCACCCGAAACGTCCTTGGAGAACGACCCACGTCCAAAAGCCGTGCGGTCAACCCGACCCCCCACTGATTCGCCACACGGTGGGGTTACCACACCGTCTCGGAATCCCCGAGCTATTTCCCGGCCCTCCCATGGGATTCGCTGTCCAAGGTAGCAGAATCAACTCGGCTTCCTCCTCGCAGCCTTATCCGCGACGATGTACGCGAAGAGGCACAGCGCGACCCACCAGCCAGCGTACCCAGCGGCCCCGGGCGCTCGCCCGGCAGCTCTCGCGGCGCCGTGGCGAGGGCCTTCCGCCCCTCGCATGGCCGCCGGTCGGGCCCGCGCCGCCCCGACCGCCCGGCGGGCCCGCTCGAGCCGGAGGAGGAGGAGGAGGAGGAGGAGGAGAAGGAGGAGGAGGAGGAGGAGGAGGAGGAGGAGGAGGGGGAGGAGGAGGAGGAGGAGGAGGAGGAGGAGGAGGAGGAGGAGGAGGAGACGGAGGAGGAATCTCCCTGTGCTCCCTGCGTGCCTCTCGCGTGCCTGCTTCGGGCCCGTTCACAGCGGCCCCTTTCTCGAGGCGCCGGCGCGCACACAGAGCGGGGCAGCCGCTGCTGCAAGTGATGGCGGCTGCGCGCGCTGTGGCGGTGCCCGTCGGCCGCGATCACCGTTCTGGGGGCGGTGTGGGTGCAGACTTTGGCCCGGAACAAACAACATGGGCCAGCGCATCGTTGAAGGAGGGCTACACGCTCTTCGGTCTGGAAGGCTTTCCCCAAAAGACGCTGTGCCGGAAAACGACAGACCTCCAGCAGATACGTCTTTCATCAACAAGCATCGGCCAGAGGGTTGAACTTGTGAAATTCAATGGACTGTCTGAGTACGACTGGATCTGAGTGCGGATGGGCCTGAGGGGCCGCTATCATACCCGAAAAAAACCCAAATATTCCCTGGGGGGCAAAGCTGGGCCTGGGGACCAGGTCCCTACTTATGTTACCAGTGAGGCCAGACAAGGCCACTCTCATACGCAAGATCGCGAGTACTTTTGACTGGTTGCGCAAGCTCTTCAAGATATGCTTGTGCGCTGGAGTGACCGTCTGATGGATGGTCAGCCTTTGTTTCCCGGCCAGCTACCGTCGGTTTGCGGCCATCTCCGCGGACCTTGAGAGGAGGGCCTGACGTCAGCAGATCCGTGGCACCGCCGAAGCCACAGCGATGAGATTGCGTGACACAGTGTGCATATGTTGAACAATCTTGCTGACAGGGCGACACGGGCAACATGACGAGAAGGGGAAAGTTACGACAACAATGAGCAACACAGAGCGACAGAATTATGGCGTCAGGTCTCGAGTACGCCGTCTTGAAGAAAAACCCGCGCGCTGTAACGCTGCGTGTCGGGGCACGTGCAAAAGGAACGAGGTATGGCGGAGGACGGAGGCGTCAGGAGGCATGAGGATAGAAGGAGGGCACTTGGCTGTTTGGGAATCGGTGACACAGATAGGAATGTAGGCAGCGACTGGCCTACCAGAGGCCCCGCAAAAGGCTTCATGCAGTCTCTGTTGCCATTCGGTTGCCTAGGTAATTTTTGGAAGGTATGGCGCCTTTATGGTTTCGGTATCCTTGATCGCGGGCGGAACAGCGAAGGGAGAACTGGCCTCGGTCCACTGGAAAATCGCGGTCGCAAAACCAAGAGCAACAGGCGAATGAGTGCAAACACTCGCAGCCTCCCGCACACCAGCTGTGCGCGGCGTTTCCGCAGCGGCGGTCGGTGCTCCAGTTCGGGCGGCGCGGTTGGTGAGGGCTGGAGATGGACTTCGTCCTGCTTGCGTGCCTTGGCTGTGCCGTGATTGGTGCTTGTGGTGCTGCGAAGTGTCGTTATATATATATATATATACACGTATGTGTATATGTGTGTATATATATATATATATATATATATATATATATATATTCGGACAACGTGTAGTCGATGTCGGCGCGGTCCCACTGCAGCTGTCCAACGCGCCCCAAGAGCCCCTCGACCTCCGCGGAGATTTTCGCGGCCCGCTTCGTCGCGCGAGGGTGGCGCCGTTCAGCTGTAGAGGTGAGGCTGGACACGGTAGACTGCGAGCCGCGAGGCTCCTGTGATTGCGTCGCCAGGCGGGCCTGAACCTCAGATACCCGCGCCGCCAAGGCGTCTCTCTCAGAGAGGTTCCGCGAAACTCTTTACGCACGCGGCCCGCAGTCGCCCGCAAGGCCCGAACCTCAGCTTACCAAGGGGGCGCGGTTGTCGAGCGAAGCGGTGCCCAACTGGCCAGCCTGGGCCCTTACAACACCCAGCGCAGACACGGTCTGTTGTTCGAGTGCGAAGACTCCGGGAACAACGCAGGGATGGCAGCGATGCGGGAGTCCTGGAAGCGCCGCCATTCAGCGTTCTCTGCTTGGCAAGGCTCACTGAAGAGGTCATGATGGACGGTCCCGGCGCGGAGCGAAGCGGCTCGTGGTGCAACCACGCGTCGAAGCTCCTGTAAGTGTCCGTGGATGGCGGCAGGTGCTACGCCTGGGGTGGCAAGCGCCAGCGCCTGCACCTCCCCGTGCAGGAATCGAGCTCGCAAGACGCTGGATCTCGAACTGCGATGATTCGAGCCTCGCGGCGTCGGGAGTTGAACTTGACAGAAGTGCGTTCGACGCTGTCCTGACCTCGCCAGACTCGGGATTTCTCGACGAGGCGATCTCCTAAGCAACGACCATACGGTCAAGTTGGACGGCCTCGTCGACCACCTGAAGTCCCTCCATAAAACCCGATCGCACAACGGCCGCATTGGAAGTAGCAACGGCGATAGATCTGTGCGCGGCGGGAGACTGTTGCGCGGCACGGGATAACCTGGTCTCTCAGCTCCGCCACGTGCTGTTGCGGCAAAACTAACAGGGGCGCTAGGTCGCCCGCATTGCAGCGGCCCCCATTGGAGGGACTGCGGCTGCGATCGCCCCGCGCGGCAAAATCGAAGCGATGGGTTTGTCCAAATACGCGACGATGAAACTCAGGGCTGGCGGCGCGGAGCCGAAAGAAAGAGGATGCACGCGCGCGGCCGAAACTCAGCTCGGGAGACGCGCGCCACGACTCAATAGCTGGCACCTGGTCGAACACGCGAGACTGGCGATCCGCGCGCACAATAGAAGAGACGTTCTGCGCCCATGCTATGGAACCACGAGAACCCAACGTTGCCCCAAGACCTCGGGGAGGACAGGAAGTCCCCGAATCGCGACGCCGACAGCAGGCGCTGCGCTTGCCAGGCCTCCCCCCCGCAAGCTCTGAGCGGCAGGGCCATGGGCCCTTGGAATGGGAAAACCGCGGGCGTTAATTGGCCCGCGAAATCAGCGCCCGCAGGGCTTCCCCCGCGCAGGCGGTGATCAGCCAGGGAGAATATCTGTCCACTGCGGCTGGCGCCCGCAGGGGGTTCTTCCACGGCGAAGGGATCGAAAATTCCGCGGTCGACGGCCCCCGCGTTGGGGAGTGGCGCGCAAGGTCGCGTCGCCGGCGGCATCGCGAGTAGGCGCCAAATCGATCACATCCACAGACATGTCGGAAGCGTCTGGGAATCACGGGCACAATGCCGGCATCATCCCTCTCAGGATCTGCCATCACTCCAGGCTGCGCGCTGGAGTCCGCGAGGCAGGGGGGCCACCAGCGCCCGCCGCAGACGGCGGCGCGCCCGCGCGACGCGGGGCGGTCGCCACCAGGGCAGAGCTGGACATCCGCTGCGCGAAAGCTGTCGCGCACAAGGGGCTCGAGAAGAAAAGGCGGACAACCTGCGCAAGGGGCGGTTTGACCGAGTGGCCGACACCCCCCCCCCCGAGCATCCGTCGGCACACGCGGCAACGATGAATGAAGGGCGACGATGAACATATAATCCGCATGTCCCACAGTCGACGCGCGGTGCCCCTGCACCAGCTTCACAGTGCAAGCCGACAGGGGCAACAGCGCAGGAAAGAGGAGAGAGGGCGGGGATCATTCACACCACCCACCTCCCCGCTCGCACGACGAAGTCGATCGGCATGTCGGCGATGACCGACGCGCGACCTGTCTCGCGCGCGACCGCAACAATGACAGTTAAGGACCACTCGGCAGCGAGACGACGGCGGAGGACGAGGACACCCTGCAATAATTTCAGAACTCGCTTTCAAGAAAGAAAGACTGGCCCCCGCTCTACGGAGCCAGCGCATAAACAGGCGTAGACGGCGCAGAGAGAAGCAAGTGACCCGCGCCGGGCGAGGGAGGAGAAGGACGCGGCGCGCCCGATGAGATGCTCGAGCTCGCCGGCGGCGGCGCGAGACCTGACCTGCAGCAAGAAACGCGCGCCAGCCAGGTGCGCGCTGGACGGCGAGCCGGCGAGACTGACACCCGGCACGTCCATATCCTGGGCGGCGGCCTGCTCGTCGCGGCGCACCGCGAGGCCCTGCAGGGCGAACGCCCCGGCGGCATCGCGCCTCCGCCTGGCCACCTCGGAGGCCGCGGCGCCCGCCGCCCAATCGTTGCCGACGCACATGGGGCGCGCCAGCCCCTCGCGCGCTGGCAGGGGCGGCCAAAGGTCGGCAGCCAGCAGGCGCGATGCGAAGGGCTGGCCGGCGTCAATGGAGCGCTCGCGGGCACGCTGCACCACGTAAAGCCCCCATGACCAACAAATCGGCGCCGCAGTCTTCTGCAGGCACACAGGGCCCCACAGGTCAACAGGACGCCCCAGGATGCGCGCGACGTCAACGGCGCCCGCTCGGGCACGGTAGGCAAAAATATCGCATATGTAGCACGGCAAGCGATGCCAGTAGAAGGCGCTGCCACGAACTGAGTGTCCACGTGGATAAAGTCGTCGAGCAAAAGCCACTCGTCCTCGACCACACCGCCGAGGAACGAGGACAGAAGCATGGCGCCAAGCGAAGCTACGTCAAAGGCCCATCGAAGGTCAGTCAGCGCCCAGTACGTGGGCAGCGCTTGGGCACCACGGAGCTTCGCGTGGAGTAGCAGCGCGACAGGACCAGGGGGGGGGGCCCGACCCCGCCCTGCTGGCCCGCACCACAATACCGGGTGGGCGTGGGGCGGTTGCGCTGTGTCCAGAGGGCGCACACAACCGCAGACAGGACCGTGGAGATCGAGATGGGTCGAAGGCAGGCGAGAGCACGCACCAATCGGGGCCCTGATTTATGGAGCGGCGTAAACTGCCACTCGGACCAGCACGTGCTGGTCGGTCTACACGACCTGGAAAGATTTCGCCAGGGCTAGCGTGAGGCGCCTGCCCGGCGGGCAGGCGGACTTAACAGAGG